TGATTTAACACACTTAACAGACGAGTTTGTGTCTGACATGCAGACATGAAACAAAAGGTTTAGAGGTTAAAGAGAAGTCAATCTAACGTGTGCCTGAGGGGGAGACATGACAAACTGATCAGCTCCCTCAGCTCCTTAAAGAACAATTCAGTTTAACTTAGAAGGCATGTCCTCTTCATAATAATACTTGATAATGCACTTCTTATTTAAAGGCAAAGTAATGAATCGATAAGATACAGAAACCAACGTTAAAAAGACTAATTTTCAGTTTAAAATCATTGTGAAAGATTTTGATTTTTGAAAAAAAAGACGTGTTTTGAGACAGGAGAGCGTTGATGTACGGATGTCTGGTGGGAGGGAGTTCAGAGCGGCTGGAGGCTGGGATGGTGCATGCTCCTTTTACAAACATGTTTTGGTTTAAAAGTGAGCTCTTGAATCCACTTGTTCATGTATTATTATTATTTTATTTTGTTTTTTCATGTTTTTTGTTTTTGTTTATTATTTTAAATTTAATTTTTTTCTTCTTCTGTACAGCACATTGAGTTTACGTTTGTTATGAAATGTGCTTTACAAATAAAATTGAATTGATTAACAATTAACAAGCTTGCATATTTCCTAATATCTGAAATACCTGAAGAAAAACCAGACATCAGCCCTGATCTGAAATGTTTAATGTGAATTTCCAATTTGAAGTCCCGCTGACCTTGTTGGCTCTGCCAGCTGCTGTTGTGTAGATGTGTGCAGGTGTTCATGCGATATGCATTTCCAGGTGTTACATGGAGGGGAAGTGATTCTTACACATAGGTGGAACACACTTCTGGACAGATTTTTACAGACATTTGTTTTTATTTAAAGGACAGCTAAATCAAGAGTATGGTCTAGACCTTCTCTTTTTATAAGTGCCTTGAGATAACATTTGTAATACCATACAAATAAAATAAAAATACAAATAAAGGTTGACTGATTGTAGAACAAAATCAAGACATTTAGAAAGTAGAGAGTGAGGATGACATGCACCAAAGGGCAATGGTCATAGTATTGTCCACACTTTGTCTATATTTCAGTCATGAACACTCTCTTCTTAGATTTAACCATTTATTGCAAAATGGAAATGCAGATAAACTTGGCACTGTTAGCTCTTCTCTCATGATGCTCCCTGGGTTCAGTCTGACAACACACATTCAAAATGCTTTGAAATGTTTACTGCAGCAGCAAAATGCAGTTTGACTTTGGGGTTTGGGCTGCAACTTCATCACTCCTCGATTGTTTTACATGCAGAAATGTGAGAGTGGTGAGATGATATCTTTAACCCCTGTAGTCCGAGCCTGCAGGAGGAGAGTTGGGGAGGTGTTGGGCTGATCCAGGCCGCGAAAAATGGGAGCATGCCTTTGTCAGGTTTTGTGAAGAATGTAGGCGTCGACCCCTTTCAGTTTTGTTGAATCGTAAATTGAACATCAACTAACATGAAGATGTCATCCTAGAACTAACTTAAGGTCACATTTTCTCCTCCTCTTGAACCAGTTTAAATACGTCTCAGAGCTCCTCAAAACATGTGTGTGTGAAGTTTCTTGTTCTAAATCCACTCTGATCCTGTATTTGATCATGTCTATAAACCCCTCTATTTCAGCCCTGCTCAGAACAGGCTGTTTCTGTGTCTGTACCTTTAAATATGTAAATGAGCTGTGTCTGACCACGCCCCCTCTCTGGAAGGGCTCGGTGGCTCGGGCTTTCTCGCCATGTCCTATTGTTTACAGTGAGAAGGCGGACTCAGAGGGCAGAACAAACACGTAGCTGTGGGAGTGTCACCACCTGGGGGAGGGGTTACTGCCCTTTGTGATGTCATGAAGGGAAAATCTCCAAATGGTCTGTTTGAGCACACATTTTCTGAAAAGTGGAGCAGGTAAAAGACAGAGAGAATGGACTTTTCTCATCATTAGGGGGTTTGTTGACAGATTAGAGACACATGTTAGTGTTAGAAAAACATGGTGAAGTGTATTTAGCATAATATGTGACCTTCAAGTAATCTTATTTGTTCATTAATTTCCATGAGAATCCCTATTAAGACTATATTTCAATCTCAGGCTGCAAAGCACCCACAGACTAGTGGTTGACTCCAATTAAAGATCTCATTTAGATCTCTTACATATCTGACTTTTTCTCCCGCTTATAACTCTGTGGGTCAGGGTAAGCTATATAGGAGTATAGATCAAATGCACAATTTTTTAAATAACAAGGCAGACAATTACCCTTTTCATCCTCTACTGAACAACGTAATGGTGAAATGACATGCTCAAGGTTCACTCAGAGAATATACTGTACTAGCTGTGGTTGCTTTATGAGAACAGTGCAGGTTCGTCTCTCAGAAAAGTCAGAGAATACAGATGGTTTCAAACTTTTCTGCCTCGACGTTTGAGTAATCACCTTTCTCTTCACAGTTCAGGTGTGTCATGAGGAGATGTAACCCCTTGCTCTTGGTACCTGACCATTTCAAAAGGCTGCCGAGTCCGAACAGCCCCTGTCACCCGTTGGAGAGCCGGCATCCAGCAGCCACCTGCTCCCATGAGCCTCTGGTGGGCTGTTGGCCTCCATTCATAAACGTCTGGGAAATTACACATGTCGGCTCTGACCTGGACAGCCATGTAATGGGCAGCACGCATAATTAACCCACAGAACATTTATAAGCCCCGGCGGCACTGTATGCATGGTGTAGAGGTGCATGGGGGAAAATGCTCATGTGTGTGTGTGCATGTGTGGTAAGAGAGATATTTGTAATGTGCACGTGTGCCTGACAGGATGAAATAATAAAGAGGGGGCTTTTGTGTGCTACACGACTATGGAACAATTTGACAGTTAGACCTTGAGCGTGAGTTAATTTGAATGAGCATGTGTGCATGTATGTGTGAGGTTTTATACTGTACTGCTCTTTAGATTCATGTTCAGCACTTTGGTCAGCTGTTGCTGTTTTTAAATGTGTTTTATAAATACATTTGATTGATTGCAGTGAAAAATACATTTTAAAATGTAGTTATGTTTGTGATGCGGGTGGCAGTCTGTGGGGACTTGGGTTGGGACTTGGGTTGTGACTTGAGTTGAGACTTGGGTTGGGACTTGGGTTGGGACTTGGGTTGGGACTTGTGTTGAGACTTGGGTTGGGACTTGGGTTGGGACTAAGGGATGAGACTTGGGTTGGGACTAAGGGATGAGACTTGGGTTGGGACTTGGGATGAGACTTGGGTTGGGACTTGGGTTGGGACTTAGGTTGGAACTTGGGTTGGAACTTGGGATGGGACTTGGGATGGGACTTGGGATGGGACTTGGGTTGGAACTTGGGATGGGACTTGGGTTGGAACTTGGGATGGGACTTGGGTTGGAAATTGGGTTGGAATTTCGGATGGGACTTGGGATGGAACTTGGGTTGGGACTTGGGTTGTGACTTGGGTTGGGTCTTGGGTTGTGACTTGGGATGGGACTTGGGTTGGGACTTGGGTTGGGACTTGGGATGGGACATGGGTTGGGACTTAGGTTGGAACTTGGGATGGGACTTGGGATGGGACTTGGGTTGGGACTTGGGTTTGGACTTGGGTTGTGACTTGGGATGGGACTTGGGTTGAGACTTGGGTTGGGACTTGGGTTGGGACTTGGGATGGGACTTGGGATGTGACTTGGGATGGGACGTGGGTTGGGACTTGGGTTGGAACTTGGGTTGAGACTTGGGATGGGACTTGGGTTGGGACTTGGGTTGGGACTTGGGATGGGACTTGGGATGGGACTTGGTGGGACTTGGGTAGAGACTTGGGATGGGACTTGGGATGGGACTTGGGTTGAGACTTGGATGGGACTTGGGTTGGGACTTGGGTTGAGACTTGGGATGGGACTTGGGATGGGACTTGGGTTGAGACTTGGGATGGGACTTGGGATGGGACTTGGGTTGAGACTTGGGTTGGGACTTGGGTTGAGACTTGGGATGGGACTTGGGATGGGACTTGGGTAGAGACTTGGGATGGGACTTGGGATGGGACTTGGGTAGAGACTTGGGATGGGACTTGGGATGGGACTTGGGTTGAGACTTGGGATGGGACTTGGGTAGAGACTTGGGATGGGACTTGGGATGGGACTTGGGTTGAGACTTGGGATGGGACTTGGGATGGGACTTGGGATGGGACTTGGGTTGAGACTTGGGTTGGGACTTGGGTTGAGACTTGGGATGGGACTTGGGATGGGACTTGGGTAGAGACTTGAAATGGGACTTGGGATGGGACTTGGGTTGAGACTTGGGATGGGACTTGGGATGGGACTTGGGTTGAGACTTGGGATGGGACTTGGGATGGGACTTGGGTAGAGACTTGGGATGGGACTTGGGATGGGACTTGGGTTGAGACTTGGGATGGGACATGGGTTGGAACTTGGGTTGGGACTTGGGATGGGACTTGGGTAGAGACTTGGGATGGGACTTGGGATGGGACTTGGGTTGAGACTTGGGATGGGACATGGGTTGGAACTTGGGATGGGACTTGGGATGGGACTTGGGTAGAGACTTGGGATGGGACTTGGGATGGGACTTGGGTTGAGACTTGGGTTGAGACTTGGGATGGGACTTGGGTTGGAACTTGGGTTGAGAATTGAGTTGGGAACCAGATGAATGCTGGTTCAAGTCCCGATGCAGACCAAAAATACAGAAGTTGTAAACATATTCTCTTCCTCAAGGTTCAGGGTTCAAGGTTCAAACCTCAGGTAGGTTTCGCCTGAAATCTTATTAGAACTAAATCACAACTAAAACACAGAATTAAATATAGAAATAAACTTCTTAGACTCTTGAAAGAAACTTGAGGATATCAAAGACAGATTCCTCACAAAGGTTTGATTAATCGTCTGGATAAAAGAGTAAATATGTCGCTTTATTTCCCCCTTTCTGATAGTGTGAATACAGTGTGCGCCTGCTGCAGAGATAAAAAGCTGTGTATGTGTCTGTGTGTGATGTGTGTCACTTGAGAGTATCTGCTAAACAAGCCTGTACATAACAAGTAGCGATGGCTGTAAAAGCTGAGATTCACCCTCCAGTATGTGGTGAAACCTCTCATTCAAATTCATCATCACTCACAGCTCCCTTCCATCAATCATCTGTTTTTTTTTTTTTTCTTTCTCTCCCTCCGCAGTGACAACAAAGTGAATCTGGTTTGGAAGCAAAACAATTACCGGGGCTCTGTCACAGATAGGTCTGCTGAGTGCCTCGGCTCCTGTGAAACTATGCCAGGTTTTTGATGCGTCTCTCCCCCCCCCCCCCCCTTCCTCCCCCCATCTCCCCCTCCCTCCTTCCCTCCCGTCTCACAGAGATGTTGGCTGGCTATCGCTGTTGGCCAGTCGTCCTGCTGTTTGAGATGTGCTCCCTGTGCTTCAGTCTGGAGGGAAATGGTGACAGGCTTATCTCCCCCGACGTTCACTCACCTGGAAAAAAAAAAAAAAAAGAGGCTGAGGGGGGCTCGCAGCTTCACTGAACACCTTCCTCCAGACCTGAAAACCACACTGGGGCGGAGGGAAAAAAAAGTCCATTTCAAGAATTTCTTTCACTGGGAATTAAGTCTGTGCTCTCAGAGGCGTTCAATATGAGGAGAGGCAGACGAGAGATGCATGTGGGCAGGATAAATATGACAAATTAAAAATAAATCTCTGCAAGTCTGGAAAAATGTCACAGGTAGAGAGAGAGGAAAAAGATGCAGAAAAACGAGGTCAAACCAAGAGGTCAAACAGAAAAGTTCAATGCACATATACAACATATCCATTTATAGGAAGGGCTTTTATCTTTCCTTTTGTTTTGTCTTCAAATCAGTTCATAAAAATCCAATTTTGTTCTTTTGATCACATCTTACAGCCATTTTTTTAAAGACTTTTTTGGATACGGCAGCTGAAGAGAGACAGGAAACATTGGGAGGAGAGAGTGGGGGGTGACCTCCAGCAAAGGGCTGGATTCAAACTCACAACTCTTGAAACTAGGACTGCAGCCTCCGTGCATGGGGCGCAAGACATAACCGACAAATGCTTTAATGAAATCTTATTAGAAGTAATGCACAATTTTCTTTTTGAGTACGATACTTTGAATGCAATCCAATTATTTCCTATCACCTCGGTGCTTTGTGCCTTGTACAGACAAACAAAATTAAAGATTTCTTGAGTTTGTTTTGTGTTCTGTCTTTTTCTTTATGACGATTAGTAACAACAGCAACATTCGGACAAGCAGATGAAACTCGTTCCTAAATTATTTCATCAGCTTTTGGGCACTAAAGGAGCGGCTTAGGATAAAGAGCAACTCAGAGTTGGCGTGGTTATTACAGGACAGGCAGGTGTCAAACACCGGCAGTTAGCTTGTGCTATCGGCTTTTACATTACAACAAATATAATATTCTCAAGTAGCTTGCAGTGCAGGTACAAGCAGTATACATACACTCTAAGTCCCGCTATCAATCAATGCAGATAACTTGACGTTTCAGGTCATGTCTAGAAATGTGATGCTGCAGGTGGTTGTGTTCTCAAAACCACTTAATGACACAGCGGGCAAACGCCTCTGGTGGCGATGAGTCCAGGAGGAGGATGAGCGGCCAGATTTGAATGCTAGATCTACAAGCTGCAAGAAACAATGCTATTGACACCTTTAACTGCAAAGCTCAATGAAGACAGGTGAGTCTGCAGATTTAGCAATTCTCTTTAGACTGATTACTACAGGTTTCAGAAAAAAATGGATTATGGCCGCTTTAAATTGATGAGTGAAAAGTCAGAGTAAGCAGAAGATATGATGAGCAAAACATGACCAGGGAAAGTACGAGTCAATATCTGCTGATAGAGCCGAACTTTTCTCAAAGGATATAAACTGTTTTAAGAGTTTGTTCTGAGAGGACATACATCATCACACACTTCATTTACCAAAACACAAGTGTGTTTAAAAATCCAGATTTATCAAACAGATGAACTGTGAGTGGTCACTTGTTGCTTCAGCTGCCGCAGTTGCAAATAAACTGTTCTTGCCTGTTACTGACATAATAAAGCTTTATTTCTTGTCTTCTAAAGATCTGAATTGATTCATCTGCAGTCAAGGTGTCTGTTAATCCTTAAACACATCTGATGTACTTTAATAAAATACAGCACATGCACAGATTGCCTCTTCATGTTCTGTGGCTCCAGGTACGTTCCCCGATTGTTGCACATTCACAAAGTCTTTCATTGACACCTTGCCCCTCAGGTTTCCATGGAAACTAGCTTGGCAACTGCACACATGTGAATGTCTTGGAGAGAAGATGGTCCGTCTTCTCACTCTGACTGTGTTTGTGTGTGTGTGTGTGTGTGTGTGTGTGTGAGAGGGAGATAGCATATGGCGGCGTTTGTGTGTATGTGTCACTGTGTTAATAAATGTGCATGTCTACATTCTACATATGCGGCTGCGCATGCGTTTTTCACTGATGCTCTCATGCATGTGTTCACCTCATATTTGTGATGTCGGTAAATGGACGACTGCTTACACATTTGCATGGCTGCATACATTTGCATTTTTAAGTCGTGTTTATGCGAGTAAGCAAATGTTCAAGCTGCAGGAGTCTGTTTGTGTTTATCCTTGTGTGTGTGCACAGTTGTTTGCATAAGTGTGGCTGTTTGCTGACGTGTCATTGTTTTTGTGTGTGTGTTTGTTTTTAATGTTTGTGTGTGCGTTGAAAAAAAGTTACAAACGTGTCGAGTAAAGCAGTTTGGACGGTGTCCCATAACATCTAAAATAATGATGAGGATTTGCTTCAGTTTTGCATGTCGTAATAAAAATGTAACATCCAGTAAGAGAATGCAGAACACTCCTGAAAAACTAGAATTTTCACCGGGAGTTTCTCCTGCCAGCCTTCTAGAATTTTTCTTTCCGCAGCAAGTCTGAGTGAGCTGATGTGAGAACGCAGCAGGATATTCTCAGGAGAATTCACCTCGAGCCAATGGGAAGGGGGGGACTCTCACTCATTAACTGTCTGCCCAGCACCGCTACGATCTCCACACATGTAATTAAACGGCTGCATTATGTTTTCTGTTCTCCAGTATGTTCTTCTCCTCTCTTTTGTTGATGTTGTCATTACACAAAACATTTATATAAAGGCAAATATCCTCATTATAGCATCGTATTTCAGACTCTTTTTGCGTCATGTCTTACGTCAGTAGACGCCCCGCCCCCCTCCTGTCTAACAGGGATGGTCTCCCACTCTGAGGAGGCATATGTGAACAGCCAGGTCAGGAGAATATCCGGAGCATTCCTGCTTATGTGAAAACATCTGACTTAAAAACAGAGGACAATTTCCAGATGAAAGATAATTCCATTTAAATTCATAAATAAGGCTTGCTGGGAAACACTTCTCAGGTTAGGAGTTTTGTTTAGGGGTTGCAATAATCATTACTACCAGGTCAGCCTCTGAACCCATCTGCACTCATCCTCTGACTAGAACATTTTTCTGTATGTGGGAAAACAGCTTCAGTGTGAAAAGTGTGGATTAGTGTTATTCTTTGCAAGCCTGCAGGTGTGCATCCTTGTAAGCATGTTTCTCTAGTACCTCATCTGTTTGCAAATATGTTTCTGCTTAATTCTACAATTCAGTTAGCAGACGCTTTTATCCAGCGAGTAAAAACAACACAAGCAAAGATCTAGAGAGGAGGTGTAAATGAACAGCTGTAAGTCTGATCGGACACACAGGTGCTGACAGGAAGTGACCAGAGGCAGAGCTCAACATCAACAGCTGTTCTTGAGAGCTGTAATCATCATCGTTGTTAACAAACAAAACCATCGTCATCAATATCATTAAGGTCTTAGGTGTTCATAAAGAGCTGGGTCTTTAGCTTTTTCTTAAAGGTGCAAATGGGCTCTGCAGATCGAATGGAGTTTGGTAGTTCGTTCCACCAGCAGGGGGCGACAGAGGAGAAAGAGGCATAGTCAGAAGTGTATTTTGGTTGGATGTGTGTGTAAAAAAAAAAAAGAGTGTGGGCAAGTTTGAAGGGTAAACATGTCAAGAAGAAAAGTAAATGAATAGTTTGAAATTATAGTACAAAGATATTTAAATCAGCTTCCAGAAAACCAGCTGATCACGCTCCACTCTCACTATCTCTTTTTACACACACACACAAACACACACACGGCTACACGCACACTCACTTCTGCCCTTTCTCATTCCACTGAAACGTCACCAGTCAGCATCTGGTTGCGGCGGCGTCCTGCACTATCTTGACCAGCAGACGTAAATTACTCTCCTGTGACATTTCAATGCTTAAAAAAAAGGAAGATTTCATTTGACCGATTTGACTGCTGGACGGTGTGTGTGAACATGCAACTAACACACACAAACACACACACACACACTCCCAATATTGACTCCAGTCGAGCCTTGAGGGAAAGGGGAAAAAAAAAAAAAACAGAGGCTAATGGGGACCTGAGGCGAGGCAAAGGATTTCACATACACTTCCATTTGGGCCAGCTTTGATCCTGATGCTATTACTTATTAACGTCCATACTCCACCTAGTGCATGCATGCACACATTCGATCTCTCACTCTCATTCACAGTTCTTTTTCCTCTCTCTCTTTGACTTCCCTTTGTTCACCT